GGCGGAATTACAATTGGTGGAGTTTGAAGGCCACAACCGGCGCGCGACAGATCGCATGCGGGAGGAGTTAGTGTCGCGAGTTCACCGGTGTCTCAGAGGTTATACTCGCTGGGAGATTGCGGCGCGGGATAGAATGACCTTGCGCGAGATGGAGATTTGTGCGGTAGCTTTGATGTCTGGTGACAATCGGAGTCGGCGGCGCGTGGCGAAGCGGTTGGATTCATTCCTTTTGCGGTTGCGGGACGCCATTGTGAACCTCAAGGCAGAGGTGACTGAGGTGTTGCGCCGGCTCGGACTGCGCAGCAGAGCAGACGATTGGACGGGTAGGGAGTTAGTGCGTAGTCGGCCTTCGCACAAGAAGCATAGCCGATGACGCGTAGAGTAGAGTGTTAGGTAGTTAGAATCTTAGAGTGTATAAAGTAGTTCAAGGTGTTCGCCTTGGGCGATTTTCCAGTTTTGGAAGTTCAGTTCATGAACTCGTTTTCTCTGCGCGTTTGTGTCTTTCGTTCTGTCACCGCGCAAGAGGAGCTACAGCTTGTAGAATTTACCGCATTTTGTAGCTGAAGGCCTTCGGCCAAATGTTCTGAGCTAGCAGATAGTCTAGTCAGGATCTTCAAATTCAGACTTACAACTTCGGACGATTTTCCCTGTTTGTATTCCTTCGGAATTTTTCCCCCTGAATGCCAAAGTGAAGTTTCTGTTAACTTCGGAAAAAGCCTTGGTTGAAATTCACGTTGTGTGTGTTACGCTGCTTGAGGCGCCTTCGGGGGTAGCCTCTGCAGTATTTCTGGGAATGACTAGTGCTTGAGAATTCAAACTCGTCAATAGACTGTTAAGTTGTGACACTGGGTATTTTCTCAACTTAGTCTCTAAGTTCGGATTTCTGTAGTCTCTGCGCGTTTTGTGAGTTGAGTGTGTTGTTCACCGCGTGAGAGTGACTTCGGTTTGACGAAGGTACGGCATCCGAAGTACGAAGTCCAGCCCGAATGCTCTGTACTAGCCGTGACTAGTGACAGAGTTGTAAATTCGGAGTTGGGGTCACAACCTGCAGATCCTCTGAGTGTACTCTTGGGAAACTTTCCCCCTGAACCTTAAGTAGAGGTCATAACCGACCTCTGAGTTGTGCTTTTACAGTTTCAGGTGTGTGTTGGGTTGAACTACGTTGCACTGTGCGCACTCCCAGTAACCTCCGAGTTGAGCACTAGCAATATTTTTGGGAGTGACAGTAGCCTGAGAATTCAAACTCCTCAATAGTCTGTTAAAAAGTGACACTTAGTACTCTGTGTGTTGCCTCTATCCCTGTGGGTTTGACCTTTTGCTGCTATACTGCAGTTTTAGCCTTTGGTGGGCTATCACAAATTAACTATGTCAAAAAAAATCATTTTTTCATGATAATCATTTTTTATCAATTTTTCACATACATTGTTTTAATCAACAACTACTTTTTACATTCAAATGAAAATATCTTGAATTGGATAAAAAAATAGAAGAATACATAATCATCAGAACTATTGAATGCAAACATATTACAATAATATCTTTAACAAATTTATTTTTTGAAATTTTAAATCATATAATATAATGATCAGAAGAAAAAACTATAAAAGAACAACTTAGATCTTTGTTCATGTTGTCAATGCTTATGTTGTAGAAAGCTTGATCCTAGCTTAGAGAAAAAAAAATTGTGTTTACGATATATAATAAAAATAACTAAAAAAATTAGTATATAAACTGTAATTAAATCATTCATTGTTATTCTTGTTGTTTTGAAAATTGTCTTATGCATTTCTTTTAGACTTTAGTGTTCATTCTAACTAATTTGATGTTCATCATCGTGCACAACATTATAACACTCTTGTTGTACATTGGATTGATTCAAAATCAATATTGAATTCAATATTATGTTTTTCATCTTCACAATCATATCTAAATTCAGCAAAAAATCACTCTGCAATTATTATGCTCAAATCAATAAATGCACACAAAGATTGCATTGAAATTTATGATGATTGTCTCTATTTTACTATCACTATTTCCATTAATTGCTTCTTTTATTCTATGTTGTCATTATTTAAATTCAAAATAAAAATTGGCATTACAAACTATCTCACTCTTCAATTCATTTCTTATTTTTCAATTGAACAAAAAAGACTGCCGTTTTCAATTACCAAAAAACAGCATTCCTCTATGTCACTGTACGCATTTGCCAGATTGAAAATTTAAGAAATCAACATAATCATTTACATCATAAAGATTGCAAGCAAAATTCTTTCATATAGATAGTTTGACCGTAACTAGAATTTTTACAAACACATAAATTCAAAATAATAAAAAATGTTAGTATATGATTCATCTTTGTGAGTCTACAATTAGGATAATACAAAGATTTTATACTCAAAACACTAAATTTCCTATCTAAGATTGCTATAACTAGTTGTATTAAATATTGTTACGCTAACATATATAATTCAATACAGTTGAAAAGACTTGAATTAACGTCTTTTACAGAGATGTGTACTTGAAAATATTAGCTATTTGAATTAAGTATGTGTAATCCTTTCAATTGAATTGATAAATGTGTGTACTGAAATTGATAATATATATTGCATAAAAAAATAATTTTAACTATATCAATATATTAGGCTTTTTTGAAAAAAATTTAGCTGAATCTCTGAAAAATAGAATGATGATAGTAGAGATTAATTCTACATTTCATAAATTATCTAATCTAACAAAACAAAATCATTGTATCAGCATGAAAGAGTGTTGATGACATTTATATAATTAGGATGACTTCATATTAAAATTTTTGCTATCATTGTTGAAAAAGTATTCGTTTGCTGAAATGATGTGTTGAAAATGTGATGTATTAAACAGAATAAGTTTTCTTTTTTTTTGGTAAAAAATAATCTTGTTGATTTAAAATCATGTGATCTTTGTTAGTAATCAGGTCACACAATAAATCAACATATTGATGTTTATTCAAATGTTTAATGAATGGTACATACTACTTCATTCATACTAAGTAAAACAAATTCAAGGTGATGAAGAATAGTGGTAGTACTACAAGCTAGTCATAGAATGTAAATAATATCTTAATAAGTGTACAAACAAAAATCAATATGGCTACTTCTTGGCAAAGGTCATATTATAGAATTAATATGGTTACTTTATCTCGAATTTAGGTTTCATGTGTCAAGTATTACAACCATGCACATGAGTGTGGAGTTTTGTGAATTAAATACAACATTTACTATTGACTCCAGAGGAGCGTTAGTGGGAGATTTATCCGAAAAGACTGTACGTTGACTTACCAGATGGACGTATCAGTATTTCAGGCTTGTGCATCTCATCATGCCGTAGTTCCATGTCACATCAAAGGACATAGATTATCATACTCAACATAAATATGTGAAAAAAACAATACACCAAACGCCTATATGACTCATTTTTACCTTTGATTGTGATCTTGTCTTATGGGGTTCTGCTCGAGGGAGAGAGATTGAGATTTGACGATTTTGTTGAACATGTTATAACTTTATCTTTGTTCGCTGCAATCGTGTGAAGCGAATATCATCATATTCTCGTCCAAATTGTAGCTGCTCATAGGTTGGTATAGTCCTATGGCTTCCCAGGCACGTGTAAGGCGAAACCAAAACTTGCATAAGAGTTCCAGAACTTATCTGCAGCAAGAGCCCATGGCTAAAATTTACTTATTTTAGTATACAAAGCATACGTCTGGTATTTCAGTATCCATAGTTCAATATACACCTAACTTGATGTATTGTATCAAATACGGACTTCATGCATTCTCTGCCTCATACCATAATGTCCAGCAATGTGGTAATACAGAACAAATTGTAATGTTGACTTACGTGTAAATCTTATAATCTCAGACGATAATACTCAACAAATTTAATATTAGTGAAAGAGATATTATGACTTCGAAAGTCTTGGAAACGAAGTCGGCGATTAGTACTGATCGAGAAGTCGTTAGTGATATATGAGTGGATCGAACATCGATCTTCGGTCTTCTCTTCAGCTTTGACGGTGACAGCAAGTCGTGAGGTTTGATTGTTCATTATGGCAGGGTAGGTACCTCTTTCACTGCAAAGGAGTTCGTGGAGATCATGTTAAGTTGTTAATTCTCCCAAGAAAGTGAAGCCCTGTGATTGAATGTCGCAATTGAATCTTTGCTGACAGCACGTCAGCGTGAGCTACATTTCGGCAGGGTAACATGTTCAATTGAGAAGCATGCTATCGACACGGTCTCCTTTTTCATAGAGCTGACTTTTATAGAATCCATGTCTTGTACGTTTGAGTATCTATGACAGACATATGTCGAAAGGTTGGTCACAGTGCTGCTTCAATATCTTGAAAAGGTACCCATTCACATGGATTTCCAGCAGATTCTGATTCAGAGTCTTCGATGCACATCTGCACGTATCGTTCGTTCTTGGATTTCATACCACCCATGATACCAGCCTGTGGGTGGTCTCGTATTTCACAATCTAAAGCTTACAAATATCTCGATCAGAAACACCGATGCACAGGTTCTGAATCTCTTCGTCGTCAATCCCGTCATCTTTTTTGAATCATTTGAACGATATTGGACAAGCTGACGTAGATCTACTAATATACATCTATGAGATCATCCTTTTGACGAGAAAGTCAAGGAAAACCTGCTGAAATCTCGTCAAGTCCACTGTAGTGCTTACTCCAACAGGTCAAGCAGTGCATGAATCTACACATAATTAGCGTACAAAAGAGCTGTGAATGAGGGAGAGAACATGGCTTCTCGAGAAAACATGATTCCCACCATCCAAGATGAATGAAGAAGTCAAAGTCGTGCTCTCGCACAAACGTGCGGCAATATTAGAGGCGTGATTGGCTTCACACAGTCCTCCAGAGGACAACTGTGTGAAGCCAATCATGTGAAGAGTCTGACCACAGCAACAGTCTGCTGGCTCGATCTTTCCTACATATATTAGCCTCGTGAATTTCGATAGCAGATCTCTCAGAACAAGTTGCGAGGGAGGCTCTATCGATCCACTGGCCAGAAAATAAACCTCCCTGCTAGACAGTTGCAAGTATGGCGAGCGTTCAGCCGGAGCTCTCATTGAGCAAAGTGGATATCAGCCTCGTTACACCTTTGGAAAAAACTAGTCATCCCACCTTTCTAGATCCGACCATCTTCGACCTTGTTACTCTCGATGCTTACGTTCCGAGAGTATACTGCTATAGGCTTGAAAACACAGAAGAGGCTTTTAATCATTATGTCAATAAGCTGAAGCAATCTCTCAGAGAGACACTTGTATCTTACTATCCGCTAGCAGGAAGATGGATAAGGACGTATGATGCAACCATAAGGCGGCTGATGTGTACAGACGAAGGAGTCCCATTCATCGTAGCACGCATCGAGGATTTCAACCTTGACGACGTCGTAGACGTTAATGATTTCAAAGGATGTCATTTGCTGGCAGGTTACGAGTTGCTGAACATGAACTCGAACGATTTCATATCTCTCCTGGAGACACCACTTCTCCCTATGTTTGTTCAGGTCAGTGCTCCTCCAAGGTTTATAAAACTTCATCTGCTAACAAGTAGTCAGGAATTCATGTGAGGCAGAAAATTCCTGTGAGATTCGCTGCTTGTTGTTGTATCGTCTTTGGTGATCCTCCAAGGCCAGCGCTCTTCAGAGTTTCTTAAATGAAAATGTAAGAGGAGATTTGGTGGCTGCAAACATGGATCATGAAGATTCATTTGTGAAACTGATTAGACTATGGAAGTTTGGTCGTCTTCTATTCAGTCTATTTTCGAAGTAGAAAACAAGGAGAAAGATATCTGGATACTTTTGTTTTAAACGATTCATAGACGTCCATTTGAAAACATGCTCCTTTCAGGTAACGAAATTCAAATGCGGATCAGCTACCTTGTGCTGCACGATAAGTCACACGAGTACCGATGGCACAGGCGTGATGACCTTCATGCAAGCGTGGTCTGAAACAGCGCTCAGAGGGAAAACTTCTGTAATTCCAAACTTTGACCGCTCACTGATTCCAATCAAAGTTTCCGACTTTATACCGTTACCCACGGGGAAATTGTCATACGATCCTGCCACCATAGGCAGGCGATTTAAACTTTCAAAGACCACCTCCAAGTTTCTGAGGGTCAGGAAGGACGTCATCGATGCTTGGAAAAAAGAAGCAGCTCAAAAAAGCATCCAACTTTCTTCTGTTGACTGCATGACTGCCCACCTTTGGCGGTCATTGGCGAGTCTGGATTCAATTCCCCAACATTTTACCTCACCTGAAACATGGATCTGCACGCTTATAAATGGCAGAAACAGGTTCCTCGATACTGCTGTTGGGAATGATTATTTTGGTAATGCTTCGTTTGGCCACCACCTGCCTATTATACCATTATCTGAAATTCCAGACATCTCATCGGCAGGAAGCATAGTTCACAAGACCGTGAACGAAGTCACTGCGTCCACGTACAAGGAGAATGTTCGAGACCTCCTAAAAACTGGGACAGTATACCATTCATTCGAAGGCCGTCACTTGATTGTCTCGTCGTGGCATAGGTTCCCTTTCTATGAGATAGATTTCGGTTTTGGTATACCATTTTTTGCTGGACTCAACTCCCCCAACTGGAATTTTCTTTCTCTTGGCTACTGTATGATCACACCTCCAGCTCCTGGATCAGAGCACCTGGCATGTTTTCACCTCGGCCTGCCCCAGGAAGTTCACGAAGCACTTGCAGCAGACAAGAACTTCATGGCACTATTCCACTGATATGTCCTGCTCTGAGACGATCTTGTTGTCTTCATCGTGCCACAAATGCTCAGTAGGATAATTTTGCATCTCTGAAATCTCATAAGCCGACTAGAACTTCATGGCACTATTCCATTGATATGCTCTGCTGTGAGATGATCTGGTCTTCATCCTGCCACAAAATGTTCATTATGATAGTTCGCATCTATAAAGGCTCATCAGCGAAGCTAGCTGTCGCATAATGACTGGTTCACTTACAAATTTCGGACTGCTTCAGATCAGCTTCGAGTGGGAGATCTGTAACTTATACAAATGTTTAGTTGCAGTAATGAAGAAGCTTCTTCCGGCTTCGATTTCAAATGTTTCGATCAATCCTGTCATAACTTTAATAATCTCTTTCGCTTCGAACAGTCTCGGACGAGTTTACTGATTTTGACAAATGACTTGTATCAGCGGTGAAGACTTTATCGGCTTCCCTGGGAATTGAGATGTCAGCATCAATCTTAAATGTAAAAGATTCCCCTTTCACAAAAAGCTACCTCTTTGAGTGCAACCACGTGCGAATCAACAAATGTATTCACAATAAGTGACTCTCAGTTTCACCGGTTAACCTTTCAAATTCCACCCGAAGGTCCGAATGGAGAACTCGTAGTTCAATGGCTGCAAAGAAACGACGGAGCTGTAGCTAGCTAGGCTGGAATAAATACTCCGAGCCTATCTAAGTGATTAGAGAAAGTTGGTTTCCACAGTGATGTTCAAGGATTGCTACCCGTGATAACATCAGTGATTTGGTGTTTCCTGCGGATACGAGGATGGAGCGGTTAGAAAAAATTAGTTTTCCATATGGATGTTCAAGGAACGCTGGATTTCTTTGTTTCAGACCTCAGGAAAAACCAAGTTACTACTGCAATACTAAGTTACCGATAGTACATCAGACATAGTTTCGAATTCGGTGATTATCCATGTCATGGATGATAAGTTAACCAATAGCGAAGTAAAAGCATATATTTCACCTCTTTTTTATTCTAGCATTGTAGTTGTAGAGAGAGATGAAGATGCAACGTGTTCATGGGAGAGTTTACAAGAGCTAACTATACAGGGTTAAGATGGTATTATTGTCTGTAGTATATCATGTGAAATGTTGAAGTAACTCCTTACTTACTCTGCGGAGAGGAAGAGGTAATGCTATATAATGTAGCCAGGTTGATCTAGATAATTGAGATATCGATACTAGCGAGAAATAGTCATTTGGTTTATCGTTTAGTATCTTGTTTTGAACGCTTGATATACTCATCCCATCCTTTTTTACCTGCTTGGTCCACAGCTATTATGTTGGCTTTAGCGTAGGACAATTTGACATCATTTCTTTCTTAACAACATCTACTTGGCCACGCCTGTTAAGTTCATGAGTCATCACCTTTTACCTTTTTTACGGCTGTTCTCTCGATCACGTAAACGACAGTTTATGTCCGGTCTGCGAAGCACATGCTCTCAATCACCCTTTCCATGTTCGACCAATTTTAGTTGACCACAGAAGGATTGCATTGCACCAGTCAGCAATCCTTCAAGTATGGCGGCATATTAGAAAGCAGAGGGTGGCTGCACAAGGACTTATTGATACGTAAGCTTCAACCATGTAAAGCTACGGGAGCTGACCTCGTCATATACAGCAAGGCGAGCTATGGACAAATTTTCAAAACATGTGCTCTGCTATAAGCTGTAATTTGCTTGATGTCAACTTCAACTTTCACGCTCTTTCATGGGACAAAGATGTGAACAGAGCAGTTCTCAAACGAAATCATCATTAGTACATCTATGGAGGTCAAATGAAGCCCTCTTAAGAGGGAATTGAGAAGGACACTCAAAATAACACTCTCTTTAATCAAGGAGCTGAGATGAGGCTTCAGCTTCAGCCTCATCTCAGGTCTTGGCCCGATAATTAAGAATTTGAATGCTATCTTTCCCGCAAGCACTACACGTACACACGTACAGATATGTACTGCACGTACATATGTGCTAATTGGAGACTAACGCCTGGCAATTGGACCGAAATATCTGCACATAGTCGGGGTCTCCACTTGACGTGATCGCTTTGAATTGGACACATTCCTGTGTCCAGGTCTTATCTCCAATCCACCCACTTTTTTTGCCCTCACTTACTATTTTTCCTGGTCTTCCGTTCTATAAAATCTTTTGTTTCGTTATCCGCTTCCGTCTGCCGACAAATGTGATTCTTCACTGGGATCTTCGACACAGCTTTTTAGCAGCTACTTTTCGGTTACATTTCTGATTCTGTATGCAGTACCAAGTCTCTGTTGATTTTCAGCATAACAAGTCAACTGCTCAATCGCATTACGTCCCCACCAAGATTTTCTTTTGGCGAGGCAGCAAGCGTCGGACATATTCCGGGCCAGCTGAAGATCGGTGGCGACAACGTTGGACCCCAGCTGCTCTGTACGTAGAAATTATCAGTCATTCGAGAAGCGAGGCAGCAAGCAACAGAAACTATCATTCTTCGGTACTTTCCTTCACAGTTTGCTACACTTTGGAGTTCCTTGGTTTGATCATTTGTCTGGTCGAAGTTTCTCGTAGGGGTTCAGTCGTGATCTTTGCTGCCTGATGATCGCACGACCAATCGCAATCTCCTAGCCTTCGTTTCACTCTCGGCATCCGAGAGAGGAGATATCACAAAAAGCGGGCCAGTGGACATGTCCTTAGACGAATGTATTCTGTTACGTCAATGTTCGTCGAGATCATCGACATTCGCCGGCAAGAATTTAACGAAAGAATGTAGCTTTTTTGTTATGTGCGTCTTGCTCAATCTGAGAATGACGTTCACATCGGTTTCTCTTTACTGCAACTGTTCTCAGTTTACCCTAAACAAACTTACTGAGCACATCAATTGATGTGCTTAGTCTGAACAAGGGATAGTAACTACGAAGGCAGTCACTGATAAACGGATCAATGTGCCAGTCGTCGTCGTGGACCACAAACCAGTGGTTTCTAGATCCAAAGTTTTCTAGATTTCTACCGTATTATGAAACAGAACTTGTGCTGGAAAGGTAGAAACTCCATAGCAGTCGTCCGAATGAACCATCCTTCCCCTGCCAGCTATGTCTTCAAAGTATACGAGTATGAGTCTAATTTCCTCATTAAGGTAGTCGAAGTCTGGTCTTTGTTGTTGGTCATTACGCTAGGCTCACTTACTAGAGGTGCTCCCTTCGATCCCGTGATCAGACACTCCAGAGGCCGCAGGAACTTCAACAAGAAACTGAGTACCCGATCAGAATCCGCAGGATTCCAGGCTTTGGATGCTATTCGCTTCGAGCCATTAGATGCTGGAAAATTTGTTATAGAAAACCCATGTTGGAGTATGGAGTATGGAGTAGCACAGTCAGTTTCGTCAGTTCTGTTAGAGGAAACCAAACAAGGCTGATATTTAACATCTGATATTTAACAGACAATAGAGTCGAACAAGATTCAAGTCTTGCAATGTCTTCGATCCAAAACATCACAAAAGGCTGCTCAGGCTGGAACGAAGAACACTTCGCGCGCAGCTTCATGACTAATAGATATCCGAAAGTATGATCTTGCTTCTGCAGTAAGGATGCACAGCTGCAGGCGGTTCTAAATACTCCACAGCCGCAGCCTTTAGGAAACAGAGTTCATGTACTAAGTTGTACTTTCTCATTCGACTTGTTGCGACTCTTTATCACAGGCCAACGTATGCAGAGAGAGGAGTAGCAAGCGCAATGGCTGATGTCTTTCAAGATGATGAAAGTCTCTGTGAATCCATTCAAGTTGCAGAACCGCTGCCTGGCAAAGAATTAGAGCAGATTATGACGAGATTAGAAGGAATTGAGAATCCAGATCATATTTCAACCGTGGCAGTCGAACAGTTGGTGTCCCTGTTAGCTGGAAGAGTCTGTATAGACGGAACAGAGGACAATTTTCTGGGTGCCCACTTGTTCACCAAATTCTGCCCTGTTTGGGAGGCATACCTCGTGAAGAATCCGAAAATCAGAGCAAGAGTCGATCCCTTTTATGTGATTTCTAGGCAGCCCTTTCCAGCGAACTTCAGTGAAGCAGTGGCTCGCTACACCGGAGGTGCGAGGTTCACCTTCACCAAGCTACCATCGAGGATAGGAAACTTCGAAAATACGTGGGCTTTCCCCAACAGAGATCACGGCCTCCACTTTCTGGGACACATGTCCACAGCCTGCCCCAATGCAAGGTTCATCACCATAAACTCGAGTGTACAAGTGGTCATTTATTAAAATCGGAAATACTGCTGCAATGTGACTGGCGTACGGGAGTTTAGATTTGTCCTCAAGATGGTCGAGCTCAAATTAGTCTCACTCATTCACATGTTTGATCTTAGATCAACTTTCGTTATGGAACTCGACTGGTCAGTTTCCCTACAAAACCCCGTTCAGAATCTCGTGGATCGATGCGAATTTTACGTTTTCCTTCGCAAGGATGATTATCATCAAAGCTACAACCCTTTCATCCACATTGCTGACTGTCACAACAAAAGCAACTCTTCGATTTCGTTCTCGTATTTGGATGACGTTCTCGAGATTGAGAATAGGACGGGCCCAGCTGCAATACCAAAATTGAAGATTAAAGGAAGAGGGTCGAAATGGTTGATTATCTTTCATTCTAATTTCGTCGTGGCACAGTAATTACTTAATGTATCGGTAGTAGTTTCAGGTTATCTCTATCTTCATTAGTGGCATTTTATTGCAATAATTCTTTACAAGTATCAAACTTTGACACTATTTTGGAGTGCTTATGATGGCTATTCATGATTTCATTTGTTGTGTTGCATGAATATCGATACTTGGAATGAGAGTTGGTGTTTTTAAATACTAGGGTTTCTGCACAACATTAATTCGATGTTACATTATATTTGAAATTATACTGGCCTACTAATATTAACTTGCATGTGTTACTCTAGGCTTGAATCTATGTAGGTTTAATTGAAGGAAGTGGTAGTTATCACTCAGTTTGGGTCAATTATTCCTCACCTTATTGAACAGAGCTCTGTGATTGGCAAAACACACGGAGCTCTAATAAACATAGGGATAGCTTTTACCCATCACAGAGTGCTGTGTAATAATCTTTGCGGGCAATGAGAAATGTGAGAAGTAGTGCAGATTAGACTAGAGTGACTGATAATTAGTCCAACCTGAGTGATAACTAGCAGCTCCCTTTAGAGTTTTCATTGAACCTCCAATTATATTATATTCAAGTTTCAATTAGGGAGAGGCTTGAATTTTAAAGGATTCATTCATATAAACTTGGTCATGTTCATGCAAGATGCTACCATACTAGGCGTCATGAGTATCACTCTCCTTTTAATCAACACCCTTTTTGGTGTTTTTCTCTTGGTCCCCTTATGGAGTAGATTGTAATTTTCAATTTTAGATGAAAAATTATATGAAATGACCTATAAATATTTTTAAATGAAAATGATAGATAGATGAACATTTTGCATACTTCACTAAAATTACACTTTACTAAGATACGAGACCTTTTTTGCTCCCCGTTGGAGCCGCAATTTTTAAGACAGTTTCTACCGTGAAATGAAAAATGTAGCTTGACAATGGCAAGAATATTGCGCCATACGATGAGCGATTCTAAACGGAAGGCTTTCTTTGCGTGAGAAATTTGTACGTTCACTTATTGTAACTTCTGAACTGTAACTACTTGGGTTCACACATCACGACAAGATCTACTTTAACGGAGTGAGGGTTCAAACGTCACACATTTGTCTCCTGCCAAATGATAAAGAATGGTTATGCTCAAAGTGTTTCTTTTGCATACTTGTTGTACAGCACATCGAGGATCTAATTTAGTGAAGGGGAGAAGAGACTTGTATGTTGGGGCTTCGCAATTGCTGTCCCTTTACAAACCAACCAGACCAGCCCATCTGGCATCTAATGTACTTGTCCAGGGGAGCAGAGACTGGTGTCCTGGGACTCCACAATCGCTTTCCCTTTTGGAAGCAACAAATCTGTGGCCGTTTTGTATGGAATGAAAGGTCGCACTCCATGTGGTCCAGTGGGCTTCCTACGGAGAGGAAGTCGTTGTGATGTCCATCCATAACTCAATTCCATCTCCGACATTCTGGCTCGAGACAAAAAAGCTCGCCCACCAAAAGTGAAGAAGAGCACTAGCAAGATCACGAAGGCAATGCCGAGGGAACCGGAAGACAGAGGGATTTCCTGAATAATCTGCTCCAGTTCCTGCTTAAGGTAGTGGACGAGGCTTGCTGTGACTCCGCGGCCTCCATGTGAGAATTGTACGTCCAGAATCCAACAAACCTTTCTCGCCGTGGTGCGTTGAAAAGCCTCCACTGCGTGCCTCCATCGAGCGTCGGATACTCCGCCAGCAATCGGCACGTCCGCGATGGCCCTAAACTCCAACTGCTCTGCATCCTCCTCAGCATCGTCTCATGTCCATTGAAAATTTCAATTTATGCAACCAGCCCAGAGCAGTGAGTACAGTGAGTGGAGGTTTTCAAAGATGACGGTCCACTGACCGCTCTCACTCGTTTACTCGAGGCCACCTGTTACATTGTCAATCTGTTTCTGGCATTCACAACCTCCGGGCGAGTGACTTTCGGTAACCAAAAGGCGAAGACCTTCCTTGTGACAGCTAATAAGTCACACATGAAAATGTCCGCCATCGTACCTAGCTGGTAGTGGGTTCTTCCGTTATGGTTTCCGTGAGCTTGATGTTTATTACGCTTTCGACCACGCGAGCAAAAGCCACGACAGTACAGTACTCTGGCTTCCATGATACGTAGAGAACAGTATAGCTTGACTCACGCACGCACTATGTCATTGAATTCACACCTCACATGTCCACGACCTCTTTAGACGACTTCAACTGCCGACACTTTTGTCATATGTCACCTAGGCCTACAACCGGGGCTCCCTTTCTCTTCTCTTCAGCTCTGGGTGCAGCCACCGTTGCTTGTGGTGTCGGATACAATTGAGAAACAGTTGTTCAAATTCGGGCATATCGATAACTGCCCTCAGCATGGTTCAGTGACAACAACCATCCTGCGGACACAGTATGAACCAGCCCGACCAAGCAGCACGACGAAGGCATGATCTGGCGTACTCATATAAAGCACAATTGTAAGGAATCTGCGGGTTTCCCGATGGAGACAAATAAAGCGGAACAGACAGGCACTTGAGATAAAGTCACTCGCGACACGACCCCATGAAGATAACTCATGAGCTCTATTAACTGCATGAAAGATGAAGCACGTAGACGTAGACAGTGTCGTCACCCTGGGCACAACCTGCGGTGAAGGCCGCAAAACCGAGAAAAAGTGGCAAACCTTTACAGTGTGCCCGCCCAGTCAGTGCCACTAGACAAGAGACGATGTGGACGGCTGTGTTGAAATTTCTTGTATAGATTAAATTGACAATATGAGATGCTCAAGTCAAAGGTGTACAGATGTTGAAGTCAAAAGACTCGATGTTTCCACAAATCCTAATCTTTAACGACTGCTCTGAAGGAAATACATGGGTGCAAAACGAAAGACAGAAGCCTTTTCTCTCCGGAATCCCCTGAAACCTGGGCTTCCAACCCCGCTACCTCGATTTACCTACTGGAAGGACCACTCCGTGGTCAAGATCCAAGGCTTGCTAAAATTGGTACTGTTGCAGTTTACGTAGGTGTAAGCAAGCTTTGAACAGGCAGAGCTAAGCTGAGAACCTTTAGACTACAGTGCTATAATTTCGATGTAAACAATTGCCTATGTCGCACACTATGATTCTACGGAGTCCTCAGAGATCGTCCAGAAGGACTTCTTGCAAACAAGAATTCCGTCTGAGTCATCAGCACCGTTCTCTGTGTCGTGTCTAGTACATTTCCATTTCATGGCCTTACCCAAGACGTTGGCGCTGTCCAAAAATTGAGGAGTATCCCTCACGATCACAATGCCATTGGGCCTCAATATGCGATCCATTTCCAACATCACGTCTTTCATCTCGCATCTGCGAGCAGTGAGGATTGTCAGTATAATGAGCTCGAGTAGTGATGTCCCCATGACATACATCAAGATTAAAGAGCTGTCAAGCACGAGATTAAAACTTGAACACGAAATACAAAATGTACCTGTGACTTTCAGCGTTGAAGAGACCGGCCACGTGGAGCATGTCGTAAGTCCTTGGGTAAGTCGAGAAGGCCTCACACCTGCATCAGACATAAGATCCAGATCTTCAGAAAGCAGTTCCGCTGTGGCCACTTCGCCTGAAGTAGGCAACCACACGAGGTTCCGATCGCAATGTGCCCACAAGCTGGAGTGATAATTTACTTCAGCAAAAAAAAACGGTTGGAAGGCTCCACTATGTCCCACATAGTGGGGCTGAACAAAGCAACACCCAATCGGAGTAGACGAACCACGCTAGGAATCTGAAATATGTCCCCAGGCGTACTCACCAGTCTGATACTGTTCCGGTCAAACCTCTATCGAACACCACTCCCAAAGAGTTGGTAGCATAAGAGGAGACAACATTCATCACCCAGACAGGGTCATCGATCAACGCGGCGGCAAAACTTCCGTACAGAGTGTTCATGTCCATCACATTCCGAATTTTGTTAGTGCCGAGCTCTGGCACCAGAGTCTTGTAATGCTTCACACGCTCCTTCCAGATTCTCGTGTCCTGGTTGAAGCCACCGGTGTTACCTCCAGCGGTAAATCTCAGACGTTCAGGGGCATGGGTGAGTCTCTCTGGCCACTTGGGAACAGTGTCTACCGAGATCCTCTTGGCGTCAGGATGCTGAGGAACGATGCAAGGTCTCATGGGCACGTACCTGTGTCAGAGGAGATTCAAGGATCGTTAGTGCTTACAATGACGTGCCCAATTGCCCGATTATGGAAAATCCAGTTGTTGCAGGACAACTTGTTGCATCTACCATTCAAACCAATGTAGAAAACTGCTTCACATAGTTCGATCATGCCTTGTATACATTCTCATTACGATCTATTGGCATGACAACTGTACGTGTAAGGACGTACCAGGCAGCATCGGCTTCGATAGCATCGTCACACACAGGTGGGTAAGTTCCCTCCTCGCGCTGTTCGTAGCAAGTGTTATCCAAAGGCTTTTGCCAAACGGCAAGGTCGTCCTTCATGGCGTACAGTTTGTAGCACATTTTATCTAGCAGGTCTTTGATGCGGTCAAGATCGCCCTTCTGTTTTTCCTCAGTGGACTCCCACCCCTTCCAGTGAACTTCGTAGTTTACAGGTGGTCCCGAAAGCACCCAAAATCCTCCGGGTCGCAGAACACGGTCGACTTCGAGGAGGTATACTCCACCTACCAATTCATGTCATCGAAATTCAGAATCGTGATCTATGTGTGTATTTGAGTTGCTACGACGGGAATACATGACACGTGCAGCTTGCATACGTACTATAAAAGTCCCTTCTCAGCAAACAGGGCTATGAATTGCACTAAGCTCTGCACGTTCAATAAGCGCGCAAGCAAGACCCAACGACACATTCATCATCTAAGAGTCAACTTCACTCGCGCATTCTCAAGTCACGAACTTGACAATCCAGGATAGTACTACATTGATGTTTTGGTGACACATTATGATCGATGGCAAGCTGCAGTGAGAGAACGTTTTGTCAGGTCATTGGAAACATTGTGGTAACTTGGATCTAAAAGCTTGACCTATCGTGAAACCACACTCACCAAATTCCGTCCAGGGAATCAAACAACGGGAGCAATGGGCCATGTCGAAGGCGTTGGCGGGATAAGGCATGCGCTGAGTCGCAATGATGCCAAGCATGGCTGGAATTCCTCGCTCAAGCGCGAATTGCACCTGTGCCTCATGATTGTCACGAGGAGCGAGGGACATAGCCAGAATCTTTCGGTCCAAGAGATCACCACCCCAACTGGCAACCTGACATTTAAGACCAGAAGGCGGAGAAGAGTGAGATCTCCATGTTCGTTTGCACATTGCTCATGGAAATAAACGAGAACATACTGATGTAGATGAAAGACGCCAGATCGTAAAAAAATAACAGGTAAGAAAAGCGTAACCATATCATGGCAATGCCGAATCCACATCTACAAAATCCTGCTAATTCACCTTCAGGTTCAGAAGCTTACCCCACATCCAGTATCGAGAGCGGTTCTCACGCTACCGTCCTTCATTCCAGGGATCAACTCCTCCATGTGGTCAATGTACTCACCAACACCATTTGGAAACATAGTTCCGCCTCCTGGGAAGATAAACTTGTCGCCCTTCTTCTTCAACCAATTTTGATTGGCCTTCTCGTTGTTGATCCAGTCATATGGGACGTTTCTGCACAACATGGCCAATAAAACCTAAATACTACTACTGTCCTGGTTGTGCAAAAGAAATTATCCACAGAAATTATAGATCGGAAGCCGCGGACCGCTGTAGAGATCAGATGGGAATTTGGATTGAGGTAAACTTACTTGTACCAACATTCACTCCGACTCTTGGGCCATAACATGGTTTGTTTGTAACCCTCTGGTGGTGGAATCAGACACTGAAGTCTCTCAGCTCGTGGAGGGCAATGCCTCTCCCGGAAAGCCATTCTTTGCTTGTCGAACTTCCTCCATCTCTGCAAATAAAAAGCCGGGAACGTCAGATGCCACATACAAACGACGATCAGCTGGAATAACGTGAGGCAAAGTGTAACATTCACAATTTTGTGGTTCGACCAAAAACTGACGTCGGAGCTCAATGGATTTCAAATATACCGACAATGGCCCCGTATTCAAGACATGTTTTAGGACGTAAAAGCTAAAATTTGAAGGTCTCCACCAACACAAGATTAACGTTTCCGCTCCAACACTGGACTCGACGGCTTGATCTGAAACTCAGTGGGCGTGAAAGTCTTCCGGAAAGAATGTCCCACGATACTCGGGGTCCAGTCGGAAGAGCGCTTCGATATCTTCTCTGCTATATATCAAAAGCTGTAGGCCGACAACTCGGACAACAGCAGTCAGACACGACCCACAACTCACGCCACGGTCAAGAGAATCTAAACAACTGACTTACCACTGGATCGGTGCAGGGAGTGTAGTCCTGCATTGTGATGTTGCAGGACTCGAACGGTGCTTGCTTGATAACTGCTGAACATCCTGCTTTGTCGCTGGCTGCAAGTGACTGGTGGGTCTCATCTATCGTTTTCTTTTCGGAGCAGAATGCTCCTCCGAGGTAGAATGACACGGCGCAAAGAGATGATACGATGAGAAACAGGGGAAGGAGCCTTGACCTCCTCTCTGCTCCGAAGAAGCTGGACTTGAGCTCCTTGTCCTTCATTGTGGACTGTCTGCAGACAAAGTAGCAACGAAACTGAGTCAGTCAGAAACCGCATCAGTAATGCCGGAACACTTGTATAGGATCGCGTGCGCTTGCGAGTTCCACAGAATAGTTCTTTCGCTTTCCGACGCCGACATTGACGACCGGAGAGTGAGTGAGAGTGCTGAGTAAAAAGTTACGTATTCCATATCCACGACCCAAGGCCTTCCCGATCCCTCACAGCTGCTGAACCTCCACTGACAGCGCGGCCCCGCGTCCCCGACTCCATCGCAAACGGCCTTCCGACGACCTCAAACGCTATACCAGTCTACACTTCGTCGCAAAAAGCTCCTACTGCCTCGGTAAGAAAGCGCCACAGAGGTCGATGGATTCAAGTTCAAGGCCCAGTCGACCCATCTCCACAACCTGAACGCCTGATTAATGAGCTAAAATGCCCGCGCAGTTCCGTGAAATGACCTGACCATTCGACAAAGAGTGTCCACTGGCGGCATTGACGGATGATCGTCGACCGCGTTCACCACCAGCAAGTGAACCAGAAGGACGTCCCACCCACACCAAAAACCATCCAAGAACAAAATCGCACAGGCATTGAGAGAACAAACAACACACTGAGCAATGCACGCAAAACAAACATTCAGCACTCGTCGAGAGCTGAAGAGGGCAAGCAAACCACGGACATGGCGAAGCGGCTCACGAGCTCAGCAGCCTCCGACGACGCTCGCCAGCTCGAAACCGTCCGCGAAACACCGACAGGCAGAAGGAGAAGAGAGAGAGAGAGAGACGCAAGCCGGAGAGTGTCACCTCAATCCAGCCTTCGACGATTGTCGGAGACAGCAGAGCTGCCGCTCGATGCTCCAACGAAGAAGACTTCTACACCCGCAGCCCGAGAACCATCAGCGAACGTGTGCTCGGGACGAGAGACTATGGCTCGCGATCGTCGTCGAGAGACAATTGCGAGCGGCTGCGGGCGGGGGAGGGGCTCTATGACCGAATACGACGGTCACTGAAAGGACGGACGAGCAGCGGTGTTATGGCCATCTCCTCCCTTCCCACTGGGCGAGGGAATTTCAACCGCGAGCCCTGACTGCGGCAGCGAACTCAGTCGGCGATCTAGCGAAACCGAGTGGAAAATGGGGAACATGGTTGAAGAGGTAAATGGCTCCATCATGGTCCCGGGGTTTCAGGTGCGATAAAAAGCAAACCTCAGCCTGACACCGGACACGAGCCTCGCTACACGACAATTACAACACAGCTGCAGCTAGCTAGCTACTACTACTACTTCCGCCATCCACCCATTTCAACCCCTCCCTGCAATCGGTTCTTCCTTCGGAACCGCTCCCTTTCTCGCTCACCACGTCCGCCTTCCGATCGAGGCCACCGCACGAACAACACCGTCGACTGTAGTAGTGTTCGCGATCAGGGCTACTGTAGTGGACGCATTTAGCGACAGGCCAGATTACCGCGGTCGAGGAGGAGGAGGAATAGCCGAGAGAGCGAGCGAGTGAGCGGGCCATCATGATCGACGTGGCGGCCAGTCAGCAACGGGGTGGATGCTCTCGGCCGTCAGTCAGAGGACGGCCGTCTTCCACCGAGCCGCGCGCGCGCGATCTGCTTCTGTCGTATGGCTCGGCGTGCCGTGCCCCGCTGCCCGGTCATCCCCTCCGAGACCACCCTATTCACGGCGGCGTGTATTTCAGACGTGCCGAATATCAGATCCGGCGGCATCCGGTTGTGAATCCCCGGCTCGTCCTGTACGTACGTACGGTAGCGGGAGTAGCCAAAACTTCGACGAAGTTCACTGACCGTATGTATGTATGATCTTCGCGATTCATGTTCTCTGTATGATACTAAGAGTGTATCATACATTAACCTTCGAATAAATACGGAATCTTGGGTATCCCCGTCCGGAGTATAAAGGGGATAATGAGCCTTCCGAAATGGGTTCTGCGAGGTAGTCCACTTTCTCATGGACCCTGCGGACTTTCAAATGTTTAGCAGCTACCTGTCCCTCTTCTAAGACTTAACCCATGGGAAAATCCGCCAGTTATCCCGATTATCCACTGTAGTCCTCTTTGACAGACGGTACATGAAACGTCGGTACACATTTATCGTAAATTGCCCGGCGTTGGAGGAGATAAAGCATCTGCTGCCCCACAGGATGACATATGTATTTAACAAGTCGCAAATGTTGAGCATTAAGCTTAACATGACATAATTTGTTGAAATTCCATAAGTTGGAATCTGACAATTTTGTAGACTGACATTAAATTAAAAAGGGTGTCCTGATTGGGAAGGAATTCGTGGACTTTTACATGGTATAGAGTCTCTACGGAGTGGACGAAAAATATATTTATTTAATATCGAAATGTAGTCCAATTCTATATCAGTTCTCCCAGGTTGACATGAAGCGGTCTCTCCTTGATCACCTGGAGACTCAGGTCCTTATCTACGGTGGAGTTCAAATGTTCATGTTTTCTCCCCCTTTAGGTTCGACAGTTGCAATCACCTTGACGCTAGGACGATGTGCTACTTCGGCAACAGAGCATGAAATTTCTAAAGACAGGTCAAGCATTGACAGATGAGACCATGAATGAGCCTACGAAGCAGCAGCAACCTACCGCAGCTCCTACTTCTTGAATCTTAACGAAAAACTCCTTCCAGCACGAAAAAGTGCAGGACAGCTTGGACATCGGTCTCCCCCCACTTGCATCGTTCACTTCTCACCCGAAACATTTTCCCCCATTCACCTGCGGGAATACCGACGGCTGAGATCATCTCCCGAAACGGAAGTTCGTACCACGTCCGATACGGCAAGGTACGCATGGCGTCGCGGCAGAATCCGATTCGCCCAAATCCCTTCCTTTTCCCCGTCCCTTTCATACCGATTTTACCGTTCGGGGCATTGATTGAATCTCCACAAAGGGGCGACAAGAGCCCTTCGGGCATACGGTGTAGGATACTCGGAGGGGGTGAAGGCGATCCGTTGAGGCACTACACCGGAGGAACAAGGTCGGCCTTTAGATCGGACCGGTGCTTGTGGGAGTGCCCTCGATGCCGTCGATCGGGAACACTCGAGGCATCTTTTGTCGAGCGGTGGCACCGGTGGCAAGAGGTTTATCAGCGGTCTCACGTGATGCCGAGCAATGATCGTCGTCACATGCCATGGCATGGAATGGTATGGCATGGCATGAGGGTCTCCCCCGTTCTGCTGCTGGCATTGATGAGCGTCGTTCGTAGGGAGCCCGCGGGGGCATCCGCTCCGGTTCCGTACTCAACGTTTCCAGCGTGCGAACGGAACGCAACGCAGGACGGATGGATCTCGTTCTTCAACGGCGATGGAAGGGCCAGAATCGGGGTGCCGCACGACACTGCGGAGGTATGAGGAGGATTCGGCAGATCGCGGTCCGATTTGCGTTCGGTGGAGGAAGTTCAAGTTCAAGTTCAAGCTGAAGCTGAATAAAGGGGATCACGAGCTGAATTAGTTCGATCGAACGAGCTCGTGGTCCATCGCTTCACCCTGAAGCACAATGAGGGTGGAATACATCATTTCCGTTTTCAGTTCTCCGTTGTTTGAGGTCACTGTTGTCAGTTGGGTGAGAGTACTATATTTCGTGGAAGATTTTCTTTCAGAGTAACATAATAGACGACTGTCCTCCGAGCGTGAAGGAGCATGGGATTGGCTTAATCTAGAATGTGAATATGGAATGTCGCTGATCAGCGAAATGTGAAACTGATGAAGGATTCAAAGGATTTATGCAGTCTGCTAACTTTTCTCGTTATTCATTTAACTGCACTTCATCATCAGAAACTATAGTCATCTTGTGTAGGTGAAAATATAGTCAATATGTGGACTACTTTTTATAGGAGTGCGATGAAGGTAAATCGTTGATTTCGCCTAGTGCAACCTGAATGCTAGAGAATCCCTCAAATTCAAAAAGTGTTTGATTTATTATTTAACCCTACGTTTGATGGGACCTTCCCATCTGTTTTTAAATATCACTTGGTCCTTCAAATATAAAAACGCAAGCCACTCCACCAATAGTTTCACTCAATAGTTTTTTCGGAAAAATTTTTAAATAGTTCAAAATTGTATATACATATTTTTTATATTTTGTAAAACCTTCTTATTTGTGAAGCCTTACATTACTTTTAGAGATATCAACAATCAGTCAATCAAAACAGTCAGTTTTAAGCTGCAGTAACCAGCACTCAATTTTTGTATACATGAACTAATCTAATTCATTTAAAAAGTATTCGTAATAGACACTGATAAGAAAATTGTAAAACTTAGATATGAGTTTAATATATAATTTTTTGTTTTTAAACTTGTCTTATGGATTCCAAAACTTATGCACATGAGGAATATATTTTGATGACACTTTTTGATTACTTAACTAGCATAAAAAAATTCATTTTTAATTACTCTTTTCACATTATAATGCACTTCATATGTTCAGTAGCCAGAATAGACAGGGATCAAATCAGAAGTAAGTTATATTAACAAATAATATGCTGCGATCTGGTTTTGTAGAATGCTACGAAGATTGGATGGGCATGGCTGAAGTGGACTTAGCAGGTCTTTGTTGATAATTTATGATTCTTCATAAGTCATGAAATACTATGATTTGCTATTATGATTTATCGTTTATTGTAGTGAAAGTGCAATACATATACTAATCTGTCTGTAGCTGGGAATCCATAAGCTAGGAGATTTCAGTACAACCTCGGTACTTGTCTTGTGTACTATAATAACTTCTAGTCTAATTTCCCTTGTAGGTCCAATTTCGCCAGCGTAGTGCGAAATATTGTTGCTCTATCAAAGGCTCTTAATTTTCCTCTCCACTAGGAACCAAGATTCGGCTGCAGGCCTTGTCACATCCAACTTTCCGTGGATGAAGGGTGTCAAGCGGAGGCGTCCAAGCGAACCGAATGCACTTGACTTCCGTTACGGAGACAGCAACCTGGAATCTGGAATCTGGAATCTCGTCAGCATCATCGTCATGCCAAGCGACGGATGCGAATCCCTAATGCTCGATGCTGCGGTCTTCATCGTGTCCTGAAGAAAGACCCCGACGTCGTCGTGCATCCATGGCTTCAAATTCTTTCGATCGATCGCAGGTCGGTGTGGTCCGGGTTGTCGTAATCATTCCAAAACCAGAACGGGATGAGCTTTGAATCTTTGCCACCCTCAGGATTTCATTCCTGCCCACCTCGCTTTGACCGAGCTGCACAGACAGGCGGACAACCGCATGCATCTCCAGTGCTCGCTGCTTTTTCTTATGTCAACACTTCAAGGTCTTCAATACGCGTCATGGAATCGGTTCACATGTTCAAAACGACACATTTCATTTATTTTGTGATTGAAACAATCGCGGGCTACTGATTATAGATAGCGACCAACTGCTTCCAGCGCGAACAGTGAGGAGTAAACAGGAGGCAATGCAAAGGGCATTGGAAAGCACTTGACTATAAAGAGCTTCGCACCGCCCTTTGCTTTGACGCGTGCATTGATCGTTGAAACAGACATTGGCATCAAAGACAATGGTGCAAATTCTGTTTGTTTGAGATGCTAAAGGTAAGGACTATTACTTAGGATTGCATACTGAGATGCCTTTTGTACAAGCGCACACCAGTTCAGGCACATCTGCTGTAGTAGACCGATAGTACGTGCTTCTTGACACAAGAGAAACATCAAGGGGAGGTTAAAACCTGGCATAGATTTCCCGTGAATTTAGACAAATGTTTTTCCGGAATGGTGTATCATGGTGCTGTGCCTGAACCCTAGAGACGGGGATCCCCACCTCATAAGTTGAGAATAATATCCAAAACTGGATAACATAGGGCCCAGCGAGGGCTTCATGGGCAGAAAATGACTTCTGGTCGGACCATATATCAATTTCTTATTTCAAACTCTCGCATATATCTCATGAGGCTGAGATTTATTCACATGAGGATACTATCGGGAGCACATTGTCTAGATGGAGCCAAGGCTTGCATGGGACTTGGTTGTTGCTTCCGAACTTACCCCACTATATCCTCAGGTAGATTTTACAATCACTGTCTCTGCTCTTAGAGTTTGGAACTTCCAGATACGTGATAGAACACTTTTCAGCCCTGCTGCCAACTGTTACAAACTTATAGATCTTATCCTCATATTATATTGTGTTGCCTACTTGCAAGTTGGAATCATGGATCCAGTTGCAACCTCCGCAAGTGAACTCCTTCTACCAGATAAAAAAACTCCTTTATGTCGGCTTTACATAGAGGAGTATGAGATGAAGAAGTGGTGAACAACTGTATAACATTCAATGTGATAACAAAGAACTTTGTGAATATCACGTGAGGCTATCTCAAACTATGTTCAAATCCCTTCGTATGATGTACAACTAGTTGGACCTCCATGTTGGAAGCCAGATGAACTTCAATCTAGACGCGCATGCTAGTCACTATCTTAAACAAAGGAGACCATATTCACTCGATTGTTGTATCCATATCCGGATTACTTCGATGTACTAGTCTTTGAATCTTGTGAATTTAAAAAATTGGTATACAGTATTTGTGCCTTTAGCTTTCAAAAACTGACAACACAAGAAGTCTCAGAATATGTTACCAAGTGTATGATAAATGTATTTGTTGTTGAAGAATCTAAAGGTGCCCCTTTAAATGTGTGGCAGTCCAAGTTTGAGATCAGTGTTTGTTGACTCTGAAGATATCTCATATCCTTGAAACTCTTTCACATACTTTAATCGTAAGAAAAGTTTAGATGTATCACAGAGTCTCATTGTCAATCATATCTTTTGACTGTAATGGATGGTCATCGACCTTTACAGTGAAAAGTATCATCCGAAATCTGGTATCGGAGTGGGAGACATTCAACGTAAAAGGCAAATTCTATTGGTGATTGAAACGTTCAAGTAAATAGGAAGATTCGTGCAAATGGTGTCCAAATGATATTAAGAAGTGAAGAGTGTTCTTTTTACTATACATAGGATTTTATTAGATTCTATGGTGAAAAGCGTAGGAAAGAACATGCATTTCTTCAAAAATAGAAAAGTCATTGCCTTTTAAACCAAGGAGATCTCCGTGAGAGAACTCGAAACTAACGTTTGTCACAGATTTATCATCATTCACGATTTCATGAGATGCTAACGCGAAATTGAAGGAAAGTTTTGGTAACGAGACCTGTACCATATTGACTTACTTGAAAGGGTGAAGCCATCATGGCCAGATAACAGCTCTTTGAGTGTGCTGAAGCGGAAGTTTAGATGGGAAATGCATGAGCAGCAAGACACAAATTTGTCTGCGCATCCAGGTATTATTCCATACTCTCATCCACCAAAAGGGAAAAGAACAGAACGATTTCCTCCTGTACAGTTGTGGGTTGACAGCGTAGTGAGGAAAAGACAAAGTCTGAATTATATGACTGCTCCTCTATCGAGCTGGATCCGCGCCATGATGCACTAGAAGATGTCTCTCACGTGGGCCATCAGACGACAAAGGTAATGTCGTCGGTATTCACCGAGCTACCAGTAAAACGGTTTCAGCAGTTCCCATGTTTGCACTTCGCAAGGAATCAGTGCAGCAGCTGTCATTGGAGAATTCATGCAAGAAGGTCGATCAAAATGGACTTTGTCAGATATAACTTGGGTGTGAAAACCTGTATGGGCTTTTTACCCAGCCCATGCCTACACGAGGTTACATTGGATTCCAGCTTCGCAACAGGTTGGAACTTTGAAGAGCACATTGTCTGTTGACCCACACCAGATCAAGGCACAGTACTAAACTGCTTGTTTGGGTATTCGTTTAGATCAACAGTGAGTGAAAAAAGGAACCCGGGTTAAGTTTCACATAGACATTAACCTCACGCGACCTTTGCAAACAGACAATGGTGAAGTTAGCTCGGAGTCGTAGTCGATCTATGCAACTCAACGAGTACGAAATGATCAACTCTGTATCGTACTGACATTACATACGTTTTCATGATGGTGTACAAATACAACCCTCTTGCTAGTGGTATACAGCCGATGTACAGTTCAATGGTTGCAAGCACGACCTTTTTCGTAGATTGCACAGTACATGAGGATGGACGGGCAATGTTCAGATGCTGGAATGTGATTGCCCAGCTTAGCTATGGGCAGCAGCGTCAGAAAGATGGGTAAGAGGAAATGAGATTATTGGACCCTGAAGAAATATACCTTGGATTCCCAGGTCTATCAATACCACAGGCCATGCTCGGGCGACCTTTCCCAAGTTAGAGTTTCTCTTCTGCGGACCAGTTGTCCAGTTCAACGAGTGCTTTCCATACACGTGCAAGGGTGAATTCGGTAAGATTGACAATATTTTCTGTACAACGAAGGAGCGAAATGTATTTTGCTC